GGCCCGGCGGTAGCGCTGTCAGGCAGCTGCTGGTGCAGAACCGTCCCTGCGAACGCCGGGTCGCGCCGCGCCGGTTCCGCCTGCGCGCTGCAAGGGGCGACGGAGCCGTGGTGCAGCATGAGCTCAGTGACAGGAGCGTGTACCTGCGGCAGGAGCGGGAGGGGGCAGCTCTTTGTGTGCCGCTGCCGGGCTGCAGCTGCAAACCCATTGTTTCAGTGATGAGTCATGCGGGAGGTAGTGGATGTTGGGAGGCGCGGCAGCTCGGAGGCACGCGGGGGCAAGAGGCTCCCTGAATAAGAAACGAAAACGTGGATTTATGGACTGCAGTGGTCCCCTTTCCCTGGCCTGGCGCTGGCACCCCAGCCGAGGACGGGAGCTGCCCCTGCAGCCCCGAGCAGGGCGGGCGACAGAGCTCCGTGCGCCTGCGACAGTTCCATCGCCTTTCTCCTCAGACCTGCTCAGCGGCTGTTAATATTCGCCGCTCTGTGGCTCACAGATGGCGAATGCGCTCTGGGTGTAGCAGAGGTTAAACATTGGAGAACGGGTGTTAAGCAGGGTTGTTTATTGCATCTTCTGCTGCTGGAAAAGATCTTAATTATTATCCCGCTACCCCACATTATGAGAGCGTTTTGTAAACGGGTGCAACAAGTGGGATACGTAGGAACAAGTGGCAACTGCAAGGCAGGAGCTGCATCATGTTGGGTAACCTCTGAAGGCAGAAATTACTTCTGAGCGGGGCGTGGGCAAGGCAATGCTCCGAAAAAAAAAAAGGGAATCGGGAGGGCTGTCTAGTTACCAGGAGCAGCGCACAAGGGTGCGCGGAGATGCTGCTTCGTACCAAAGCCCGCTCCGGGTGGGACCTGCCTGGGTGAGTTGCACAGCACCCAGCGCAGCGCTCCCTCGGTTGTGATCGGGTCCTTTGTGTTCTGCCGTGACACACACAGTTACCGTTTCTGCTGCAACAGACATGTCGGGGCTGAACTGGCTGGTGGAGCAGCAGCGTCAGTGCAAACGTGGCTACTTCAGGGAAGTCGTGAGCACCAGGAAGATGTGTGGCATGAGAGGGAGGAGCCCGTCGCTTGAACTTTGGGTAACAGGAAGATGTCAGGGAAGAGCACAAGCAGAGAAATAGCTGGGAAAGACTGTTTGGGCAACAATGAAGTGTTTTAGATTGGCTTCCTTCCCTCGCTGTCTTCTTCTCCTCCCCCTTCAGATGTGTGTTCAGAGAAGCTTTACGGTCTGCACTACACCCACAGTTAGACTGTGTAATTCTGGGGGGTCAGTCTGGCCTTAAAATCAGTGCAATTTGGGAACAGCATTAGAAAATCTAAAATAAAACTGATTTAAGGCTGCTGGGTCGAAAGCTGACAGCGGTGCTACGGAGTGCTCGGCCTCGGGCAGGAGGGCAGGATGGGAACCTGCTCAGGAGTCCCTGCTAACGGGATGGTGAGCATGTCTGGGGCCATACCTTGTGGGTCTGCCCAGCTGGTGTCCAGGCTCTCCTACCGACCAGATGGTAAAATACCGTAAATACTTAGGCTGTTGCTTTTTCAAACCTGGGAGTAGAGGAGGAAAAAGTCTTCCGTTCAGCCAGACGTTCACCACCCTGTCTTTATGAGGAAGAAAACTGATAGAAGGAAAAACCAGAAAGGTTTTGGAGAAAGGGGAGCAGAATGGCTTTGGGAGGGAAGAGGGTTAAGGTGCGGCTAGTCGCCTTCACGGGGATTGCTGGAGATGTGGAGTGCTGCGGTGCTCGCACACGAAAACGCAGCGCGTGGGGCATAGCCGCTCGTTCTGACTGCATGGAGAGCGTCATGGCCGCTCCCCAGCGGGACAGAGGTGGTGGAGGACTGCCTCTGTGTGCGGCTCGTAACTGAGAAGGAGAGCTTTCTGAAAAGAGGAGATGCAGAAAGATTCCCTCTGCAGACAGCAGCTGGATCTTCATGTTCTCCTTGGACTCGCGGGGAGGTCAGGCCGGCAGCTTTTGTCACTGCTTTGTACTTCTTTTTGTGGTTGATAGTTGCTGGGGTGCAGCTTGAATAATCTCAAGCTTTGGGGAGTAGTGCGGGGTACAACTGCTGGGAGAGCTCCGTGGACTAACCTGAAATGAAATCACGTCCTTCGGGGAGGAAAGTGGTGTCTGCAAAGCTGTGAGATCGGCATCTACCCCAGCACCTATCCCAGCACGTACCCCAACATCTACCCTCTCCTTCCACGTAGCGCACGGTGCTACGTGTGACACTGGAGACCCCCGAAGCGCCAGGAGAAGGCCAGCGGCGCAGGCAGGGTGGTGGTGTCCCTGGCCACCCACGTGCTGCCTCGTGCAGCGCATGCCGCATTTCGCAGGGCTGCAAATAAAGCAGCACTCGACTTTGGAGTCAGGTCCTGCTGTATTCGCCGAGGTGCTGGTTTCCGTGAGCACACACCTGGCCGTAACCGCTGCCTTTGCTCTGGTCTGTTTTGTTTTCCGGCAGGTATGCGCGTGGCTTTTCCTGCTCCTTCAGCCTCTTCCACCAGTGGAAAATTAAACCACGCAGGCTTTGCTTTTCTTAATTTGTAACCAGAGCAAGTCTTGTTCTGTGCCTTCAGCGCTCTGAGGGCCGTTTGTTGCTTTGGGGAGTTCTTTGCGGCACTGTTTGGGTTTGCCTGTGTGGCGGGGGGTGAGGCCCGTCCGCGGGCCGCTCTGACCCACCACGGGGCAACCCGGGCGGCTTTTACTGTGGAGCCTGCCCTGCCGTCAGCCTGCACACAGCAGTGTCACTTCTTGTGTCCCTAGGTAATCAAGGCACTGCCTACAATATGGTTCAAACTGTGTTTACAAGATGTTTACCCAAAAGCCTGTTGAACATTAATATATTATATGTATTAATATTTCAGAGAACATAATTTCAAATTGCTGAAAAAAGCAGAGTCTCAATACATCAGCTTGAGCTGTACCGAGAAGAGTAACGGCTTGACAGAGTGTAGTACAGTCGCGACTGAGACCTCGGGGGCGAAGAAGACTTCAGTGCTGTGGGGATCCTTGAGTGGTGCCGTTTGTTATTAAAGCTGAGTTCAGGCTTTGCTAAAATGCTTGCTGGAATTTGAAGGCCGCAGCACAAGTGGTTGGTCGTTATCTCCCAAGTAAACTGGGAGCAAATGAAATGCAAGTAACAGACTAAGTTAGAGGGAGTTGTATGCTTATTAATTAAACAACTACCCAGATACATCTAATGATTTTTGCATCTATAGAATCCTCGCTCTTGATGACACTTCCACAACATAAACATTTCTGCTGTTTACTGACTTAAAATAGTGTTTTTTGGAGGCTCTTGTGCTTGTGTGCTCATTGCACATCCCAGTTTGGTCCTGTGAGCATGCTTGGATTTGTTGCATGCTTTGTGCTGGGCTTGTGTGACTCGGAAGTAGTTTCTTACAAATGCGTGTGATGGATTTATGTAGATGTAATGAAAATGAAACTTCAGTGGTTTGGCTCATCGTCCGTACTCCTGTTTATACGCTCAGCAGACCCGTTCTCCTACATGATGACAAATGTTATGTAAATGATGATACTAGTAATAATTTTATTTGGATCTCATTAATTTATGGGGAAAAAACCAACAGATTTGGGGGAGGCGAGGGGGATAGTTGATGTTATGCATTTCTTATTATAATATTAACACCATGGGAATGCAAACAATAACAGACACACCCTGGACATGCACCATGTTGGCCACGTACTTCAGCGTTTCTTATTGTTTTGGGAGGCAGGATTTTGCAGCACTTTTGTCTCGTCCACATCTGTGCTTTCATGCTTCATAATGTTGCTGCTGATAACACTTTTTTCTGTAAACAAGTGGCCCACATGCACACAAATGCATATGTTTACACACGCACAAACCCACAAACTGAATCCTTTTTCTGTTTTTTGCAAACTCCAGAGACATTTGACTTGAATTAGAGGGTGGCTGATTTCTTTGAATTTAGGTTAATCCAAGAATGTTTCATGATCTAAGAAAACAAGTTTATTTATAATTGCAAGTAACTAATATTTGTTTTCTTAGGGTTTTTCCCATAGATACTTGTCTATGACCCACTCAGCTTGCGCTCTCTGCTTTGCTTGACGCTGCTCAGTTATGTTTATAGCCTTTCATTTTTTTGAACATTGCCAGCAAGGGTGGTGACCGAACAGTAAGCATAGTCCTGGCCTTTCCCGTCTCATCTAACTGCCATTTTTGCACAGATCTTAATTGTGTGGGATTGATAACAAGATGCGTGGTGACCAGAAAGATTTCCTTTGGCTGTAGTGCTGATGGGTGAGGAAGAGGACCAGCTCACGCCCAGCATCCGTGCTTCAGCAACGGCTTGGTGCTGTGCTCGGTGTGGTCCTCCTCTGGTGTCTCTCAACAGGTCTCATCAGTATGATGTTGAGACGCATCTCCAGAAACCCCATAGGGATTTTAGGCCAGAGCTGGCTTGTGTCTGGCCGGCTCAGGATGCACACAGGTCCTGAGCATCTCTGGGTGCATGTGGCCGTGTCCTCAGTCGTCGTTTGCGTGCTGCAGGCAGCACATCCACCTGGATTGCTTTCAGGAGAAGTCAAAGTGCCTCCTGACAAATAGTGCGGTGTTTATCTTTTTTCAAAGGCTTCCAGGTACACGAGAGCTACGCTGCAGCCCCGGAGGACGCCGGTGCCATGGTGGCAGGTGGAAATAGCTCTGCAAGACATGAACACAAGCTTCACTTTCTGGAGTCTGCATAGGCCTGCCTGTGCAACCACAGAGTAAACTGACAGCAGGTTGGCTTCTGGAAAATAATTGCCTCACGTAATCCTAACCTGTCTTGTTACTCAAGTGCTAGACTAGCTGTTGTGCTCACCTTTTCCTTTATCTTTTTTCCCTTTTTTCCCTTTATGATGAGTGCAGGCCTGGTGTAGGCAATCAGGCCTGGTGTTGGAGGATGAGGGAGTCACACTGGCTGCAGCAGAGGACCCCTGCCAAATCTGATGTTGTCTGCACAATTCACCTCTCTTGATGCACTAAAGTAACTTTTTTCTCATTGTTTTGCAAAGCAGCACTGCGTCACAGGTCAACAGCAGGGCTGGAAGTTGGGAATCTGCTTACCTTAACCCCGCTGATGCCTTTTTCTGTACGGTGGGACACGTCAGTTGAATTTTGTCTATAAAATACTGAACTTCCCGAAACCTGACAAAGCTATATAAACATAAAAACTTCTTTTTTTTTCCTTTTTAAATTGAAGAGAGCTCTGATCCTTTCAGTGGTATCTTGTGGCAGTGAGTCCCACAGTGTAATCATATTCAATATGTGAAAGGGTTTCTTTGTTTTTAACTTGTTCCTTTTCAGGTATTTGAGACACGTAGTGCTGAGGAGCATGCTGGCTGCCCACCCTGTCTGCTGGTCTGGGGGCTCCGGTTCAGGGCAGAGCCACGCGTGCAGCTGCAGTCTGAAGGAAGCAGTAAAACTGCACATAAGTTGTCCTTCATTTCCCATCTTCATCCCCTCCTGTCTTCTCTACACATACAGGCATACGGGTGTGCTTAGAAAGGGAACAATAATTCAAATACAAAATACAGCATATAGAGTTTGCAGGTCTTCCTTGCCAAAAAAAGAAAAGCAAAATTCCCTTCCACTTGCTGATAAATTGTGTGTTTCACCAAGGGACATCAAAGCATTTTATAATCCATAGTTGAATTTTGCAGCGCTTCTGAAAGGTCACAGGTGGAAGAGCTGAGGTGCAGGGATGTGAAGTGTCTGACCTAAAGCTGTACCTTGATAAGGCAAGAAGTAAAGTTGAGCTTTCTGTCTCCCCGTCTCCTGTCTAGCTGGGTGTGGAGGTTGGAGTACAGAAAGCCCAGGACTTGCTGAACATCGCAACATCTCCTGACTGGAAGCTGCCTGCGTTGCATTGTAGAGGATGGGATAGGGATGAATAAGGAGTGTTTCGTACTGAAATCGGGTCTGTCTTATTGCAGATGGTACAATTCACTCTACTTACTAGTTACAGATTCCCTTGGGCTTTCCCTGTCCTTCCTTCGGCCTCTGATCTTTTTCATAGCAGCATCTGATAAAGAAAGTTGTTTCCTCTGTGTTT